CAGCTGAGACCAGGTTTTTTTAGTGAGCTTGTTACTGCTCCCCCTCCTCCTTTTTCATCCTGGCTTGGGACCGGCAAAGGCGGAGTTTTTTTTCTTTCAGGTGAGTAACTTTAGGCATTGGTGAAAAGTGTAAATATATATTCTGGAAATGAAAAAAAAAGGATAAAATAAATCAGAATATAAATTTACAAACTATATTTCAGAGGAGACGATTTATAATAGGAATTTATTTAAATGACCTCATTAAAAACTACATTTTATATATACTTGGGTTCAACTTTACATGTATGCTATCCAAAGTTCGCACACTTGAAAAAGGTCACATAAAGTCGTCTGTGCGTAAACACAGGCTTTTGTAGCAAAGGTTTGGCCTTGAGCCCTCTTTATAGTCATATATTTCAGACATTATACAGTGTGTTCAACTTTGGGTACTGTCAGTATATGTGCTTCAAGGACATGAGAGCACATGCGCTAGAACACCATACCTGTTCCATCGCAAAGATCCTATAGGCATTGGTGAAAGTGTAAATAAATATTTTGGAAATGAAAAAAAATTGCCGATATGACAACATATTAAAGGAATAAATTCATTTTAAAGACCTCATTAAAAACATAAAGTCGTCTGTGCGTAAACACAGGCTCTTGTAGCAAAGGTTTGGCCTTGAGCCCTCTTTATAGTCATATATTTCAGACATTATACAGTGTGTTCAACTTTGGGTACTGTCAGTATATGTGCTTCAAGGACATGAGAGCACATGCGCTAGAACACCATACCTGTTCCATCGCAAAGATCCTATAGGCATTGGTGAAAGTGTAAATAAATATTTTGGAAATGAAAAAAAAATTGCAGATATGACAACATATTAAAGGAATAAATTCATTTAAAAGACCTCATTAAAAACAACAATTCTATATTTTTATATATACAATATAATCTAATTAATTCAACACACGATAATTCGACCATTTTTGGAAGTCTCGACCTACGGCCTATCATATGTCAAGCTAATTCGACACTTTCGATAATTCAACTATTTTGGAAAATCAAATTTCAACAGTTGATATTTGTCTAAAACCCCTATTATTAACAACATATTAGACTGCAGAGTGCAAAAATGTAGAAAAGTGTATGTATATAATTGTATGCATATATTTGTATGTAAATAATTGTATGCAAATAATTGTATGTATAGATCAATGAGTAAAATATTTTTTTTTTTTGCTTATCCCTAGTACACGTGGTACAGGCCTTGATAATCATGGTGGGTAGAGTAGGCGACTGCTTTAACTGTAAGTACACCACATGTCTAAACATGTGAAAAGCAGTTCGACTTTGCATTTACAAATGTGCCAGAGCCCCGTTTGATTACTTGCGCTTGCTGGTGGGGTTGGACTTTTGCAAGAATCGGAAGCCATTGGAGCATTTTTTTTTAATTTTTCAGAAAAAAGTGCCCAATGCGGGAATCGAACCCGGGTCGTAGCGGTCGAAAACCAACGGCTTAGACCATCCTTCCACCAACCCCCAGTAAAATAAGTAAGTAAAAAGAAGACCAAAAATAAGTGATAATAATTTATTGAATAACAAACAAAATAAAAAATCTTTCAGGTGAAAAATTATAGGCATTGGTAAAAAAGTAAACAAGAGAAATAGCAATTGGGGTTTTGTGTCTGCGGCGAGTCATATTAGCACGCCTAGCTGTTAGGGGAATGAGTCTTCCACGGCCTTTTCGAGGCATGACAGAAGACGCTGAAAAAAAAAAGGTAAAATAAGAACCAAGCAGAGGAAAACTATAAAACTGAAAGCCAGGACAGGCATAAAAAGAAAATTCCAAGCATGTGAGGAAACAATTGATGAAAAAAAAAATGTGCAAATAATATGTATATAAAAAAGCAAAGCCCAATTCTAAACCCAAATATTTTTTTTATGAGAAGAACATCAACATATTGCATGATTACGGCAGTCCATAGCTTCCCTGACAAAAATTCACCAAGAAAGTTAAATATTCCAAAATTTTTCTGTGTGTAAATTGCTAAATATGTAAAAACATGTATATAAAAAAGCAAAGCCCAATTCTAAACCCAAATATTTTTTTTATGAGAAGAACATCAACATATTGCATGATTACGGCAGTCCATAGCTTCCCTGACAAAAATTCACCAAAAAAGTTAAATATTCCAAAATATTTCTGTGTATATATTGCTAAATGTGTAAATAACATGTATATAAAAAAGCAAAGCTTAATTTTAAATTTCAGTATCCTTTTCACAGGAAAAGCATCAAAATACTGCATAAGTACGGCACTTTTGCAGCCCCCCTGACAAAAATTCACTAAAAGAGTTAAGTATTCAAAAAAATATTTTGGTATATATATTGCTAAATGTGTAACAAACATGTATATAAAAAAGCAAAGCTTAATTCTAAGTTTTAATATTTTTTTTATAAGAAAAGCTACAAAAGCAAATAGGGAGAAGTGGGGCCATTTAGCCATTTTCAAAATTTGATTATGAAAGAGTAAATAAATGAATAAATAAGGACAGATATAAAGAAAAAGTATTGCTAAATGTGTAACAAACATGTATATAAAAAAGCAATGCTTAATTCTAAGTTTTAATATTTTTTTTTAAATAAAAGCTACAAAAGCAAATAGGGAGAAGTGGGGCCATTTAGCCATTTTCAAAATTTGATTGTGAAAGAGTAAATAAATGAATAAATAAGGACAAATATAAAGAGAAAGTATTGCTAAATGTGTAACAAACATGTCTATAAAAAAGCAATGCCTAATTCTAAGTTTTAATTTTTTTTATATAAGAAAAGCTACAAAAGCAAATAGGGAGAAGTGGAGACATTTAGCCATTTTCAAAATCTGATTGTGAAAGAGTAAAAAAATGAGTAAATAAGAGCAATTATAAAGAGAAAGTATTGCTAAATGTGTAACAAACATGTCTATAAATAAGCAATGCTTAATTCTAAGTTTTAATATTTTTTTTTTAAATAAAAGCTACAAAAGAAAATAGGGAGAAGTGGAGACATTTAGCCATTTTCAAAATCTGATTGTGAAAGAGTTAAAAAATGAGTAAATAAGAGCAAATATAAAGAGAAAGTATTGCTAAATGTGTAACAAACATGTCTATAAAAAAGCAATGCTTAATTCTAAGTTTAAATATTTTTTTAAAATATATATATAAAAGCTACAAAAGCAAATAGGGAGAAGTGGGGCCATTTAGCCATTTTCAAAATTTGATTGTGAAAGAGTAAATAAATGAATAAATAAGGACAAATATAAAGAGAAAGTATTGCTAAATGTGTAACAAACATGTCTATAAAAAAGCAATGCCTAATTCTAAGTTTTAATTTTTTTTATAAGAAAAGCTACAAAAGCAAATAGGGAGAAGTGGTGCCATTTAGCCATTTTCAAAATCTGATTGTGAAAGAGTAAAAAAATGAGTAAATAAGAGCAAATATAAAGAAAAAGTATTGCTAAATGTGTAATAAACATGTATATAAAAAAGCAAAGCTTAATTCTAAGTTTTAATATAAAGAAGAAATAAGATACAAAAATGGAGCTAAATTCAAATGAAAAACTATAACAAATTAATAAAAAAAAAAGACCTAATCCAAATGTCACCATCATCAGACAAAAGAAAAAATGAGATTTTATTCTTTAGTTCATTTATTCTTTTGTCTGATGCTGTTGCTGAAACGTCACACACTATTAAATTATTTGGATTAGGTCTTATTAATGAGAAAAAAAAAGATGCCAAAGAGAGATGAAAAGATGCCAAAAAAGATAACCAGATACAAAAATTGTGCTAAATTCAAATGAAAAACTATAACAAACACTTACAAAAGATAATTATTATAGAATAAAAGTAATAATTCAATCTACAATTCGAAAAATTTATATATTTAAATGAAAAACTATAACAAAGTACTTACATAATCAAATGAATCAGAAATATATATTATTTCAAAACACATATTTACGCATTTCAAAACAAAGGAATTGATGATGATGAATGCAAAAAATCTACGATTGTAAAATAGATTAAATTAAAAAATAAAAATAACTGTTAACATTAGGAAAATAAAAACAGGCCTATCATACGAAGAAAAAATAACGAAAATTTTGGTATATAGATCGTTATGTGTAGTTCAGAATCTTCGGAGGAGATAGCTCAGGACTTTACAATGGAAAACTCTGTTACGGTATTATCTATATAGATACTAGCCGAATGACCCGGGCGTTGCCCGAGTTTTACCCGATTAAATGCTTTTATTCAAATACTATTCGTTAAATTATAAATTGGCGCCGTGGATGTCATTCTTGTGAAACGTCCCGCTCCAAACTTTGTGTCTGAGAAGCGATTTTTTATAAAGAGATGATCTGGCTTTGTGTCTTCTGCTCGAATGAATGTTTTTCTGTTAGAATTTTGTTCCTGCATACTAAAAATGAACTGGCTTCACCCGTGGTCTCTGCTTTTTGGAATTTTTCCGGATATAATTTTGTATCTGATAATCAAATATGATACAGCAATATTGTCATAATCATTTTCTGACTAAAAAACTATTTTTGCCCAGAACCTGTCAATTTCAAAATTTCTTGGCTAAAAATGCGACAAATATCTCTTCCATATTTTTTTCTAAAAATGTTCTAAAATTGCTAAAACACGTTTTACATGTACATTAGGTCAGCTGATATTACCTCCCATCTTCACCGCTAGAGGCGCTGCTTGCGAGCAAAAGAGCAAATTTGCAACTCAAATTTGCAAATTACTCGAAGAATATTCGGGATAGACACCTGAAATATTCAATATAAGTTTTTCCAGATTCTACTATACATGCTGCTAAAATTTCAGTCATATTAGTTACGTATTTTACGTATATTACGTAAAGGCATTCCATTCACAAAAGCAAACGATGACAGAATTGATGACTCTGATACTTGTATATTTTAATAATAATATAAATGAGTTTTAAAAATTGTAAAAAAAAAAATATGCATCGATGCATCAAATCGAACCCGGGCTGCCCGCATGGCAGGCGAGCATTCTACCACTGAACCACCGATTGTTATAAGAAATGGCCATATTTGGGTATTCATTCCATTCACAAAAGCAAACGGTGACAGAATTGTTGATTGATTGTTGATTATGACTCTGATACTTGTATATTTTAATATTTGATATTGATTTTATCGTTTTTATGTACTTCTGTAGAGGGGAAGAAATGCCCGAAATCTCGAGATTGTGTGAATACAAATAAAAGAATCTCATCTCCAGAAACCTGTTGCATTATTAATGTCCAGGAGATTTAAATCAATTGAATAGAAATAAATAAAATATCTGCAAAATTGATATTACGATTGAAATTGAAGATGAAATCATTATTTAGATCAAAATGGCGCAGTAAAAACAATAAAATTAATTTTAGAAAATAAGAATCTTAACCAGCCACACGCAGCTGTAAAAACAACCTGTAAATTTGGGATCCTATCATCCCTAGTAGCCCGCCGTATTGATTGGGGCTATTGACCTGTCAGCGCAGCATCTCTCGTGGGGTGTTTACATCCATCTGGTAGCTTTTTAAAATCCTCTATCCCTTTTATCATTCAGAGATTGGGCTGAAATATCGTTTGGTGAATTCAACTCTCAATGTTAGTTATTAAATCAATTAAAACTCTCTTGCAAGAGGATTCTAAAGAAATTATCAAATCAGCTAGAACTATTTCAGAGATGGTGTAAAACCCAGAGCTATGGAGGTGTTCGCTTCCAACGTTAGGTAAGTGAAACCTGTTGAACCTTCGGCTGCTAGCCGAGGTAAGGGTGCCACCGAGTGGAGGGAGAGATGTATACATCATCTCTCTCGTCTAACTTTGTGCGAACAAGTCGCTAGGCAATTGTGCTTTTTTTTTGTTCTAATCATTTATTTCTATCTCTCTTAAACGAATAGTACAATTTACTTGTACATTTTTGAATCAAGTATTTTTTTTCAGGTTTAACAATTGATATTTTTAGTTGATTAAGTGATGTCATTGTTTTTATATAGATCTATTTTCGCACATATATTAATTAAAAACTAAATAAAAAGACATATCCAAACCGCTCTCTTACATGAGTATTTTCTATTATTTTTTTCACATATGTTAATCAATAAATTGTGCAATTTTTTTTTCTATACAAAACACATAAGTGTATCTTATTAAGTCTCACTGCGCCATTTTTTTATGAATTAATATTAGAGGGTATTATATATAGAGTTTATACATTTTTCCGCCACTTGTAAAGTTCCGCTGTCTCCATGGCTTGGCGTACCAGACCAAATCTGCTTGTCATCCAAGAACCAGGTTGGTTAGCAGAAGAGAGCATTGACGAAAGGCACAACAGTGAAGGAATACTTACACCTGACACTTTATCCTAAAAAACGATAGCTATTTATCTCACTAATTACACTGTTCAACAACATTTTTTTCCCAAGAGAACCTGAAGAGCGTATACAGTGTATACAAAAATGTAATGCCTCGATAAAGGTTGGCGTTCAGCCAGCCGAAATATTGACAAAATAAATGTTTTATAAATCCAATATATGCCTTTTATTATCTAATGAATTAAGTATGGATTGCTCTATTTAAAATATATATATATATATATATTAAAAATAAAGAAGGCATCTCCTGACCACGAGCACATGTGCATTTTAGATGGCAGAGCGCCATGCTCCGTGATATTTGGCCAACCCAATTTCTTGATAGATCAAGAATAGATACCGCCGTAGTGCTGGCAGTCACGTGAATCTGGACACCAGATATCGGGGCACTATGTTTGACGTTCGAAGTGGACTCTGAATCCCACAGTCAATACGTTACTCACTCGGGCTGTATACTTCCAACTTCAAACTGTGATGTACCTTGAAATATATTTCAAATGGCGTTCAAATATTAAATAGACCTCACTTACATGTACTCCTTAATATTTTGTTTATGCATTAGAAATAGCGCGCCTTTTTAAGAAAATACAAACTTCTACTGTCCTAACTATGATTAAAATTATTGAGATGGCATAGAGAATCTGAAGTGAATTTTGTCTTATATTCCCGTTTTATTTTTTGTAACAATAAGATGCACCTCTCCCTTTATTTATGCATTAGAACAATGTATTAAGTTTATCGCTCCAGTAAATATTTTTACGGTGGTGGTAAGGAATGAGCTACAAGACCAGTTTGGGAAAATTCCAACAAAGCTAACCTGCATACCGTGAGGGCCATAGCCCGAAACCACGGTATACAGGTTGGCCTTTTGACTCAATTTGCCAAACATGGTGTTGTGGCTTATTTCTTTTCACCACCGTAAAGTTGTTTACTGGGTGATAAACATAATACATTGTTCTAATGCATAATTAATGAGAGAGATGCCATTTTTTTTATTTATTAAAATATGATCCACTCGAAACTTTAGCTTACATTATCATATTTGAAGATTAAATAAAAGAAAATATGGCGCGATCTATATGAGAGAAAAGGAACGATTTAGTGAGGATCCTCCGTTCTAACAACTTCTTGCCATTCATTTATCATCGCGAGAAGAAATAGTTTGAATTAGAGAAAGAGAAAAATACCACGCTAATTAGTTACAGCTCTCATATCAGAGTAATTGTATTATAGTTCATACATGTAAACATGATGGCGCGCGCGCGTCATAATTAACTGATGCTGTAAAGGACTTTATTTATGAATTATTAACTGAAGAGCAAAATGTTCAATGCAATATTCGAATAGATTTCTACTCTCCTAAAAGCTAATGTGCCCCAGTTTTCATGAATATCTTAATCAAGAAATACTCTTTTGTAGCTGATATAAATTTAGAAAATATGACCACTACAGCGGTGTGGTAGATTAAACTAGGAAGACCGCTGGGATGGTTCACCACTGATGAACCAGGCTTCTCAATATTTTTTTCTTTTCTATAAGCTCAGCAGGAAATTTCTTTTTAAAAAATAAACCAAAAATATATACTTAGTCTAGCCATAAATATTGTTACAAAACCAAATCAGTGATAAAAATTAATTTGACCGCGTTAAGTATTCAAAATACAGTTGTTGTTATTTGAATATCTCGTGCACACGTGCTCAGAAAAAAAATCGAAATATATTTGATTTTTGATAATTTTGATAATTAAAGAAAACCCTATAGTTGTAATAGCCTTACACAAGGTAGGCCAAAATCTTTCACCCTTTTTAAACTTTTACAAAATTTGAATATTACCCGTCAATTTGTTTATCGAATCATTGAAAGGTTCAACAAGGCTTGCACTATTGATGACCTTGAAAGATCTGGTCGACCTCGCATGCAACGAACGCAAGCAGCTATAAAAGCCATTCGCGAAAGAATTCGTCGAATTCCACACTGCAAACAAAAGATCTTAGCAAAGCAGATAAATTTTCACAGATAGTTTCAAGGATAATCAACGAAGACCTTGGACTGAGAGCTTTCAAACGACGCACAGGTCATTTGATAACCCCTGCTCTTAGAGATATTAGAAGGGTTAGATCAAAAATGTTGTTGGCGCAGCATGATGGTCGGTGGCATGAGAGAATCCTTTTCACAGACGAGAAATTTTTCACTGTCGCGGAAAAGATTAATCGTCAGAATGATAGGATATATGCTCGTAGCTCTCTAGAAGCTTATTTGAAAGTCAGAAGACTTGAAAAAGTCACCATCCTTCTTCTGTCATGGTTTGGTGGGGAGTTAGCTACCAAGGTATAACAGATCTCCACTTCTGTGCCAAAGGGGTAAAAAATACAGCTAAAAACTATAAATAAGACATTTTGTAACAAATAGTAATGCCTCTGAATACAAAAATTTTAATGGAGAACATTGGATATTTCAACAAGATTCAGCTCCTGCTCACAAAGCTAAGTCAACTCAACAATGGTTGGAGACGAATGTTCCGGAGTTCATAAAGGCCAATGAATGGCCCTCTGGAAGCCCTGATTTAAACCCCCTTGATTACAGTTTGTGGGCATATTTAGAGGAGAAGGTGTGCTATAAAAGATATCATAATTTGGATAAATTGAAATCAGCATTGGTGAGAGCAATGAAAGAAATACCCTTAGAAAAGGTGCGTGCCACCATAGATCAGTGGCCCGAACGTTTGAGATCCTGTGTCAAAAATAAGGGAGAACATTTTGAGTGCTTGTATATATTTAAAATATATGTCCTATTGGCTAATAATATATGTATTTATATTCCATTAGTTTTTGTTCTTAATCATTTAATTTATAAAATTGTTTGTAACAGAATTTATGGCTAGACTGTGTACAGTTTAACTCTCTAAATGTTAAAAATAAAATCCTTTTCTCTAAAATTCACCGTATCATTGTGTTGGGAAAACCTAGGCCTTAGAGTGGTGTCCCCTCTTATTGGTTACGCCATTTAATATCTCCTAACCGCATTACACATTCACAAGTAAGTTTAGCCTATATAGTGGGTTATATATACGATTATAATTGAAATATCTTAAACTTAGTATTCCAGGCCTTAAATGATCAATGTACTCCTTCAAAGAGAGAGAGAAGCATGCTACGTGCTCAAACAACCTAATACAATAGCAGGGCGGCTTGGAGATTGAACTGGTAAAAACGGAGGAAGGGTTCACCATTCTGATGAGCCTATGTATAAATCGCTTCCATTGAAAGCGATTGAAGCGAAATTATTCTGAAAAATATTTCCTCAAATATGTCCAAACCTAAAGGAATGTAATTGACGGTTGATTTGAATGCTCCTCACAAAAGCCGCGATATTTTCATTACACAAATAAAGTTCTTCCCAGGACCTTTATGTTCTTCTGTCACCAGGCTGTTTAGCCGCATCGTAGATTATAGAAGCGTCTATGATGTGAGGTGATAAATCAATCTTCCTCCAGTTGTCAGAATGTAAGTAGCAGAAATAGAAGAAGACGACGTGGCCCCGAGAAAGCCACCACTGTGAGGGTAGTGGCATCACGTGAGGCCTATTTCCGACGTGCCGGTGCTAGAGTTACGAACGGCATCAACCACCGCTATTTGTGCCTCGCTG